TTTAACAAAAAATACTTCTGGAAGGAATCGCCAACGCGACCTTTAACAGTAAATGTCATTCTGGTTTCTATAGAAATCCTCCTTGTCCGCTCTTATTACAACTTTTTCTTTGTAATTCACATTTTTCAGCAGGTTTTCTAAAAGGTAAAGAAAACATGAGGTGACATAAGACAGGATATTCCAGCAACTCAATGAAGAACATGTAACAAATCAAAATAAAGCAAATGTTGACGCTCCATGTAAAATAAATCAGCTGAATAAGGAAGAATAACAAAGAACTGATACAAGTATAAATAAAATACCTCATTAATATAACAAATACTGAATAGCACCATTTTTTATTTATTCTCTATGAAGCTGCTTCGACTTGGTCATGAAAAAAACACAAGTGTCTGATTCATCTTGGTTTATGAAACGTCTTGTTGCAGAATGTGTGACGAAGATGGGGATGATTTTACTGATTGGAGAAGTGACCTCCAAGGCCATAGTGGATCTCCAGTCAGTGGTCCGAAACACCGTGAAGAAAATCGGATACGATGACTCTTCTAAAGGTGCCGTGTGGTGGGGTTTCCTGTTTGATACCTGGAGGAAATGAAGTGACTGTTGCTGATTCTGCTCTGACTGTGATCTGCAGGCTTTGACTATAAGACCTGTAACGTGCTGCTGGCTCTGGAGCCGCAGTGTGTGGAGATATCAGACTGTGTGTTTGAAGGCTGGGACCAGCAGGACATCGTTGCCGGGGACCAGGTTCGGTTTTTCACCTCTAATCCTCAGCGTTGTTTAGTTTTATCCAGGCAGGATGGTTGTAATCAGTGACTGTGGTGACGGAGCTCTGACTGATGGGTCTTAGCTTCATCAGCTTCTGGAAACATTTCTGAATGCCATCTGTAGCTTTAGCTAATCATGGATTTCACATCCACTGTAGTCCAGTATATTGTGGCGCTCCACTGGTTCAGATGAGCAGAGCCGGTCGGACCCTATCCTATACTGAGACATCTAACTATCCAGCTGTGTGCTGGCACCTAGGCTGACAATGAGAACACCTTCTCTGTCTTTTCTTGGATTTTATTTAACAGAATAGAGAACGCAGAATGAAACGGCTATATACCTGGCACTGTGTGCTCACAGGAAAAATGAAAAGCAAAAGAAAAGCAGTAACAACACTTCTTCAGGACATCCCATATTCCGCGCCAACTGGACGCACACGCCCACCTGTTACCCTTCTTATACCCTCACACACCTGTCCCTCCCCAAACCCCACATTGGACAGAACAACACAGCATTCCCAGAAAATAGCGGCAACCAATACAAACACACTGCTTGGACATTAAGGCTGCACCCACTCACCACAGAACAGAGCATGGACACCAGCGGCTGGGGCGGGGCGCCACAATATGGAACTTTTGTCAAAATTT